GTATCACCGACCGCCATTGTGGTGACTTCATTCAACGGGAAAATCGTTTAGAGTCAGAGTCGGCTTGTTGGGGCGTCATATTCTACCAAGAGTCGGCTTGTTGGGCGTCATATTCTACCGACCTAGAGTCGGCTTGTTGGGGCGTCATATTCTACCAACCTAGAGTCGGCTTGTTGGGGCGTCATATTCTACCAACCTAGAGTCGGCTTGTTGGGGCGTCATATTCTACCAACCTAGAGTCGGCTTGTTGGTGCGTCATATTCTACCAAGAGTCGGCTTGTTGGGCGTCATATTCTACCAACCTAGAGTCGGCTTGTTGGGGCGTCATATTCTACCAAACTAGTCACCTTAGTGGGGCGTCATATTCTACCAACCTAGAGTCGGCTTGTTAGGGCGTCATATTCTACCAGCGTCAGATTCTACTGACCTAGAGTCAGCTACGTTTAAGCATGGATAATGTGTACATATTTTCTTGTTGATAGACACGTTAATTCTCTTAAGTTCTACTTTTATTACACAGATCATTAAGAGGTCAAAAAATATAACAAATTATAAACAAGTAGCATAAAAAGAAATGTTAACATTCCACAACACGATACACACGTGGTGTTGTCTAGGAAACTTATTTTAACCTGAATTGCCCTTTAAGAATCTTCAACTTTTTCAGCCAATTAATATTAGTATGTTGTTTTACTTCATGTTTACCGAAATGAAAATTGTGTTCTACATCTACAGGAATCAAAATCCCCTCTAAGGAGAAAAAGGTGTGCTACGTGTGTGTACGCGGTATTCTAAAAGTGTTATACAAGGTATGCGTATTTTTTAAAATTACTGCGCGGTAGGTCCGAAACTACTGCGCGGCCGCGCAACCGCGCAGCTTGGAAGAAACAGGCAGGAATGCACTTTTTTTTTCTTTTTGAAAGGTGAATAACAAGTGGCTTTACACATAGCCATTATTTCTCAGTGTGAGCCATAAATTCAATCTTTAAAATGGTATGATTCTACAGATACAGATCTAAGTACCACAACACTGGTTTGTATTTAAAACAAACAGCTAAGTGTAAACAGACAACGCTCATCCAATCTAGCAGACGTCCAGCAGTTTTTGGCGCTGGGGCTTCTGGGAATTTCAAGTACGACCAACCAATCGCCTTTGTTAAATGAGGATTTGTTTCCCTTATTTATGTCTGAATGCATTTGTCGGCCCTTTGAGTTAGCTTCCAAGAGAAACCTCCCGGGTATAATCATACGGTCGATGGCTCTAATCAATATGCATTGATTGCTCATTAACAGCGTCACCACGTGACTTTCATGCCGTGAGAAAAATAATTTTAAGCTATTTCACAGTAGAGTTACGGTCCTTGAATTCATTCAATTGTTTTAATTTAACGTTTTGACCTGAAAACAAAAAAAAATGTAGTCGGAGAATTCGTTTCTGGTATCGTTATGGCCCATAAATTGTCCCGATTATCAAAGGAGGAAGAAAGGAAATAGTCGCTAACTTCTTTAGCCCGGGCGGTATCGTGGCTATAACCACGCCATGATTTCTAATAAAGGTCAGACTCACGTGAACAAATCGTGATTAATCGGGGACGATCGATTCTACTCACACAGTTGCGTGTCCCTGGTGGAACAGTGGGCCCACCCACGTGAAATACAACCCCCTCCTCCCTTCCCTTCCCCCCCCCCCACACACACACAAACCCACGACTACCCCACACCCGCGAACACTAAAATTAAACACAGAGAAATATATCATTTGAATTTGCTCTATTTCTGTTCCATTGTTAAAACAAAACAACCTAAAATTAACCCATCGATGAAGAATGAATGGGGATGGAGGGGGGAGAAAAAATGATACAAAGGACAATAACTGCGTCAAATTTCCTGTACTGATTACCTCCCCGTGTGTGACAATGTATTATGTTGTTTATTTGCTTGTTTCATCAAGGCCCAATTCAGCCAGTCAATATTTTAAACACAACATCAATAAACTCAATAAATTAGATATTTGCCTATTTGTTTAAACCTTCGCTTCATAGCATATGTGAAGTATTGTTTCGCGCATATGTTTTTTTAATAATTTTTAAGTTTTTTAGTCAGCCCTACAACTCACAAGCTGAGCTAGACTAACCGTTGCTCATTGAGGCTTAGACTGGGGACATTTTATCGCCAGCGTTCCCTCCCCTGATTAATTCGCATGTGTAGTCCGCCATTGTTTAACCGCAGAGCGTACAAATCAGAATAAATGTTTGATTCCACCCCCACCCCCACCCTCCACACCCCACCCCACCATCACCACCAGATCAAAGGATGGCCGGCCGCGGCTGCTCAATGAACCATGACGAGAAAAATCGTTGTTGCTGTCATAATTGATCGCCCGTAATTATGAATTATACGACGCCCGTTACGATAAATAAGCGTAGACGCCGGCCATATAGAACAGACACCAGCTTGGGCCAAAAAAAAAAAACTGAACGAATCACATCCATTCACCCCACTCGTTGGCCCAAGTTAAATTTTTATATTTAGTGAAATAAAACCAAAGTCACAAATAGAAACTCAATCGATGCTTAAAACGTCATTGTTGTTGTTGTTTTTAAATTAACCGGTTAATAGGCATTGTAAATATAGACTTTTTTTGTGGTGGGCTAATATATTGTTGTCGGTTGCCCCATCTTCTAGTTCAAGTAACACCAAATGGTGATAGCGGTGAAGATGGTGATTAATTTCTAAAATTTTGATCAATTATGTGTATTTTGATATGCAATTTAAATTAATTTTTAATCTCAGAAATGCATATGATTGATTTTCGCTAACAAATCAAAAGATAAAATACGTTTCTTTTTTTATTAATTTTAAGCTTGGATTCGAAAAAAAGTGTAGTCCTATATTCTATACGAGCCTAGATATAGCCAACAGAACATACACTGTATGTTGTGATATCCTGTGGGTTTGGTCGTTTAAAACGCAAATTGTTTCGGCCAACTCCCAGCATGCAATGTTATGGTCAAGCCATAACCGGACGTTGTCTATTTAGTAAACACCGGTCGCGGACATGCGCAGTGTTTACTTGTTTGACAAGCCCGCCGTCCACGATAGGCATCGGCGGATAACAAGGGGGGTGAAGACTGGGAGGGGGGTAGTGCTGACCACTATCTCCAGGTGTCCGGTCATGGCGCCATGATGGGCAGGTGTAATCTAGCGGTCAAGTCCCGGACAGTGTACGCACCAGACAGCGATAAACTCGGGGCTTGTAGGCGCTGGGGGATGTGGTATACAAACATCATCACCACACGGTCGAGGGTGTCGGTACACCAACGCCTGACATTGGCAGCTCATTACCACAAAAACTAATCAGTTAAAATCTAGGCGTGTTCTTTTTTTATGAATATTCAGTCGAATCAATAATTAGCGAATATAAAAAGGGTAGGCGCTATTTCCATTCTAAACATTTTGTAATCTAATTTTTTTAGATTATCCAGATTTCCACGCTCAATTCAAACTATTGTTGAATATAATAGAACAAGTACAAGTTAATCTAACCACCGTATATTAATCAATTACTTTTAATTAATCCACCCACCACTACTACCCCCGTAACTATTAAACCCTTTTTTCTCAAATCCCACCCACCCCTTCATAAAATACCCATATTCACCCCCTCTTTTCATCAACCATATTCCCCCACCCCACCCTTAAAACAACCCCCTTCCTCACGCCCCCCCCCCCCCATCGACCAGAGCACCTCACGAATAAAACCAATGTTATGAGAAGGCAGCCAGATGTGAAGCAGTGTACGCTTATGCCGTGCGTGTTCAATAATGACACGTTTACAAAACACGCAGCAATGTGCTCTCTGTCAAGTTTACCTCTGCCCATCTTACATCGAATGCTTACACATTATTTCTTATGCTAACTCAGGTTGTCATTTATACATATGCACATAACCTGTTTGTGTATATATATATATATATATATATATATATATATATATATATATATATATATGTATATATATATATATATATATATATATATATATATATATATATATATATATATATATATATATATGTATATATATATGTACATATATATGTGTATTTATATGTACATATATATATATATGTACATATATATATATATATATGTACATATATATATATATATATATATATATATATATATATATATATATATATATATATATATATATATATATATATATATATATATATATATATATATATATATATATGTACACACGTATATATATGTACATATATATGTACACATATATATATGTACATATATTTATTTATTTATTTTTATAGGCCTATATGTAATAGCATATGGACGCACTGGAGAAAGTGTACTAGTGTAATTATTTAGCTGATATTTTAACCAGAAGATTATGTCAGGCATGGGACATTGCGGTCACTTCATCAGCGTTGGGGTATTTAGTTAGGCGTTGGGAAATATGGTGCAAGCCCTAGAGGAACCTTCAGGAATTTTCCATGGGGGTCCCCGCACTGATCATGTAATAGCTGGCAGTTGGACTCAGGTAGACGAAAGGTCAGGGAGACTGCTCACCTTTAGGGTTCAATGTGGCGTGTGAACTGGCTGTTAGGTAGCGTAAACAACCCCCATTCAGCGCCCGTTACCTGACAAACTCATGCCATACAAACGCCCCCTCACACAAACTCCGAAGCGCCTGCCTGTAAGCGCTTGTCTCCTCCACACAGAAATCTACCGTAGCACCTCTCCTTGATACGAACCCAAAAAACGCCCATCCTCTTTATACACAAACCCTTAAAGTACCTACGATACACAACAACCTTCAAAACAAAGCTTTTTTACACAAAAACTACAAAAAGTACCTTTAGCCCCAAAAAACGACAATCACACTAACACTCCTCTGTACTCAAACCTAACAAAACATCACTTCTCCCCACTCCCCAACCCCCAACACCCCATTGACCTTGCCCTTTACTGACCTGGTTTCTTGTTATCCGATTCTTTTCCTCCGGTGCCCGTATTGTTATTGTTATTGTGGCTGTTCAAGTTGTTATTGTTATTGTTGTTGTTGCACAGCCCGCTGTTGTTGTTGTTGTTGCCGCCGTACGCGCTCCCCGGGCTGCCGATATCCTGGCACGGGGAGCCGGTCACGGACCGGTCTATGACGTCATGGTCGGCTCTGCAGAAAAGTCCGTCCTCCCGGATGGCGAATTCGTCGCCGGTGACCAGGGGTTTATTGCACATGATGCACCGGAAGCAGTTCAGATGGTAGACCGTGCCTTTGGTGGGCCGCATAACGACGTCTTCGCGACAGAAGCCGAGGCCGCAGCGAGAGCATTTTGTGCCGAATAATCTGAAAAGATTTCGTTTTTATTGAAATAGGATTTATTTTTTCAAAACTCAAGAACAAAAAAAAAATTAAAATATTTAAAGTGCTCTATGTCTAATACCGCAGTGAATCTTTGGCGTAAAAATCCATTTTAAGCGTCTCCAAGTCGAATTACTCAAGCTTAAAACCGTAATCTTCTTTAAAGATTGGTTCAAATTATTCGCGTTTTTTTTGTTTTACGCTAAATAACTGAAATTCTCGCGATAATTTTCAACCCACTGTTGATTTTTTTTAATGCTTCGGAGTGTAGGTTTTATATTTTCTATCCCTTGTTAGTTTGTAGATATTTAGATCAAGATACTTTGACTTAGCTTAAATCAAACATGCAAGTTGAACTAGACCCTAAGGTTTAGGTACGCGATGTGCGGTGGCCGCCATCTTTGACAGACCTATCAATAATCTCACATTCACGTGCAGAAAATAAAACCCAGGCCCTTCTTGTATGCTAGAGCGAGGGGGAGGAGGGCGCTCCCCTCCCCAGCCGAGCAGAGAGTGAGAAATTTCTCCTCATTAGGCCTATTAAAAAGACACGACTGTTCTCCGCTTACATGCCACTACTGGGGCAGCCGTCGCTCTTTGACAGGACCACCGCGCCAAGATGCAACCAAAACCGATTCTATTTCCTCGCGTTAATTTGTTTAAGTCGAGGCGAGGAGGGGAGAGGAAAAAGTAGATGCATGAATTCACAGGTTTTTTTTAAAGGTTTTTTTTTTTAAAACCAACGCCGATGTAAAAAAAAAAAAAAAAAAAAAAAAAAAAGGTATAGGCCTACTTCGCTTGAAGTTTTCTTCAGCGTCAAGAAAATTAAAACCAGAGAATTGCAGTTTTTAATTAATCATCAAAATATTTAATCCTAGCTGCTTACATACAGTTAAAGATTAGTTAAAACTTTCTGAGAAGAGAAAATATATTTTTATATAATTTTATCCTGGATATGTTAAGAGAGCTACGACTATGGGTGTTAAAGACAAACAGCAATATGACAAGGAACCCCCCCCCCCCCCTGTGTCGTTGGGATGAAATGCGCGGTCTCGCATTGTGGAAACACTAGATCGGTGCAACTTTTTTAATCAGACCAGATCTGGATTCGATCCTGTACCGGTGACGTGACCAGACTCTGATTCCCCAGCTTTTGAACAAAAAAATTCAACAATTTTTGAGGACAGAATTTGAATAACTCGCATCACGCGACCAGTTTTTTGTTACGTTTGGCTAACCTCGGCTTTCTAGAATCGCGAGAAACAGATTTGTGGGTGTTTCGCCGCTTCAATAAACACCTGTCCTTGATTTATTTACCCTCTAAGACGGCCGCGATCATTACCTCATTAGAATTTTTTAACGATCGTTTTTTTTCTTCTCAAAACTGAGGCGAGTCTTTGCGGCAAACGGTGCGGGAGTTGTTGTTTTTTTTTTTAAACGGAAGTGTGCGAAAACAAAAACAAAAGTTGGCATTTAAACACATACATCTAACACATACGGTGTACACATTCATTCCACACATATGCCACACACATACGCCACACACACACACCTCACATGCTTACACATACACACCCCACACATACGCCACACACACACACCTCTTATATACAACGCAAACATATAACTCACACACATACCCCACACATACAATCCACACATACATTCCACACATAAACCCCAAACATAAATCCCAAACATATACCCTAAACATACACCCCACATACACTACACATACACACCCCACACCTACTCTACACACATATACCTTACATATACTCCCACACATATACCTCACACATACGCCCCACAAAACAATCCAAGCAAACTCCCCACACATACAACCCAAACATACACCCAAAACATACACCCCACATACACACTCCACACATCCTCGATACACACAACCCCAAACACACCCCACACCTACTCTACACACACATATACCTTACATATGCTCCCACACATATACCTCACACATACGCCCCACACAGCAATCCAAGCAAACTCCCCACACATACAACCCAAACATACACCCAAAACATTCACCCTACATACACCCCACATACACCCCACATACACACTCCACACACCCTCGTCACACACAACCCCACACACACCCACACTTCAACATAGCCGATATCTAGCTCTCCCATTACTGTGGGTGTCCTCGATGAAACCGTTCAAGGATGAACAGACCACGGAGGCTGATGGCGTTGATGTAGATGCGATGCTGCCGTCGGCGACAGCCCTGGCAGTTGTTTTTGCTGTTGGTGGAGTGGCTCTGGTGTTTTGGCACCGCCGTGGCATGTTTGGTCAATGGGAGGCAAACGAAGGCAATTGCTAGGTGGGCGTGTCGACCCTGCTCTAATTGTGGATGGTGTGTTTGGGGGGTTGGGGGGGGTGTGCATGATAATGTGAGGAGACTATTTCTGTAGTACTAAGATACGAATTTATATAATACTTGCTATATTGTGTATGTGTCTATTAAAACATATATGCGATACTGAAATATTTAAATATTTTTTTCCTTGCTAGATGGTATTTCTGTTCTTCTTCTAAATATAATCTCTTGCGTTTAACAAATAAGTTTAACTTTAGTTAAGTCTGATACTATGAAGTTTTTATTCAATAAAAATCAAAGGCATTATTAAAGCTTTAAAAAAGTACACAAAACTATTTTTAAAAATATGGGTTAGACAAGTATCTGTAAACTATAGCTGCTTTAAAATGTATCTAATTATCTTATCCAAAGTAGGATACTGAACTCAAGATCCCATTTTAATAAAGATACAAGGTACATCTCTACAAAGAGAACGCTGACTTGTAAAACGTTACTGTCTACTATGAGGAGCCACCCCATGATTCAGCGGTATAGGATTGATGTACTAGTTAACAAATGGGGTGACGTCACCAACAGTCTGCAACGGGCGCTACCCCCCTCCTCCCCCACCCAGCCTCCACCCACCCCATGGGAAATCACTTTAAAAGTCGAGTGTGGCAAAAATACGCCGGTCCTCATTATCATCCCATGATCTAACATTAATGATACCGGCCGATGGTTTAGTGCGGTGCGCCGTGGTGCGCGGTGGTGCGCCATAGTTTCATGTGGATTGACGCGTAGCCTCGGAGTATTCGCCCGGCGATCGAGTTTCAGGGGGGAGGGGACGTGTGGACACTATAAAAAAAAACACCATGCATATTGTTGCAGATAGGGATAACGGGAGGGTGCATACGCTATTATTTTTAATATAATTTCTATAAATATGAATGAAAAAACAAATAGTTTTTGCGCGTGAATGGGAGACAATTACTATAAGGGGAGAGCAGCAGTATTAGAGTTGATAGACGATAATAGAGTCAGGTTTTAAATAATGCAACACCAACCTGAAAAGAGCCCAAGACTCACCGGGTAATTCCTATTATGTATTATTTATAGCTCGCCCGGCTTGGTTAAACGATGAGCAAGGGGAAATCACTCCATCTGGTTTACGGCAGGTCAACTCGGGGGTTTACCGTGGGCTGGGTTGAATTAGAACCACTGGCGTGGTTATTTTTAGAATTGTGTTAGACCGTGTGTGTCTTGTCTATTGAAAGCGTTGACATTGGACATTTAACGTACGGACAAGTTATCGATCTTTTTATGGTACAACAGTGTAGAATAGAGGAAAATCAATCGGTCTTATGTAAAAAAAATATATTTTCTGTAGTAATATTTTGCATACAAAATAAATTTGTTTTAATTTTTTAATTTTTTTTTTACACAGGACGTAGAGTAGAGCCAATAGTCCCTCCCCCTCCCCATTATCTGACCAACGCTCACCTGACGTATTCCCTCTTACAGTATGTCTCCCCGTCCCCCCCTCCGTCCCCTCCCCCCCCCCCCCCCCATGATATAACCAATGCTCACCTGACATAATCCCTCTTACAGTATGTCTCCCCGTCCCCCCCTCCGTCCCCTCCCCCCCCCCATGATATGACCAATGCTCACCTGACATAATCCCTCTTACAGTATGTCTTCCCATCTCCCTCCCCACCCCCTCCCATTATATAACCAATGCTCACCTGACGTAATCCCTCTTACAGTATGTCTTCCCCCCCACAACCCGCCCCCCCCCATGATATGACCAGTACTCACCTGACATAATCCCACTTACAGTATGTCTTCCCCCCACCCCCCCCCCCCCATGATATGACCAATGCTCACCTGACGTAATCCCTCTTACAGTATGTCTTCCCCCACAAACTCGCCCCCCCCCCCATTATATGACCAATGCTCACCTGACATAATCCCTCTTACAGTATGTCTTCCCCCCCACAACCCGCCCCCCCCATGATATGACCAATGCTCACCTGACATAATCCCTCTTACAGTATGTCTTCCCCCCACCCCCCCCCCTATATATGACCAATGCTCACCTGACATAATCCCTCTTACAGTATGTCTTCCCCCCCACAACCCGCCCCCCCCCCCCCCCATGATATGACCAATGCTCACCTGACATAATCCCTCTTACAGTATGTCTTCCCCCCCCCCCACAACCCGCCCCCCCCCCCCCCCCCATGATATGACCAATGCTCACCTGACATAATCCCTCTTACAGTACGTCTTCCCGTCCCCCCCCCCAGCCCCCCCCCCCCCCAATGATATAACCAATGCTTACCTGACATAATCCCTCTTACAGTATGTCTTCCCGTCCCTGACGAAGCACGTGCACGACTCGTCCAGGTACTGCTCACAGTCGGCACACTTGAGGCAGGAGGCGTGCCAGCACAGGTCGGGCGACACCTGCATGATGTACTGGTCAGTGATGTGGGAGCCACAGCCCACACACACGGAGATGTTACGTTTCTCTGGGGAGTGGACAGTTACAGCTCGAGAAACTACAGTAACAATATTTACAAGAAAAATAGAATACAGGGTTACATCTAAATACGTTACAGTAACAATATTTACAACAACAATAGAATATAGAGCCACAGGATACTTAGAGTAGTTTAATATTAGCAAAATAACATTGTACTTTTATTAGCCATTTCTATCAACCAACTTTGCAACCTATTCATTGTTCTTGAAAATAACATAATATGCCTAATATATTCTAGAGTATATAGCACAATCACCCCCCCCCCCCCCTATGTACCACAAAACCACACACATACACACAAAGACTAAAACCCAACCCTGTCCTAGAAAACCTCACATTGTAAAAACCCCATCTTTGTATCCGCCCACACCACCCCACCCCCTACTTGCTACAAATCGTACTTAAGGGTCCGTGCTCAGAATTTCCAGAGCAGGTCCCGAGACCCCCGAATCGATTTCCTCGCTCTAGAACTAAGTGAGAAATCATGTTCATGCCTCGGTCTATAGTTTGTTTACCTAAGTCGATACAGACTCGCTTATCGGCCTTGGTGGCCAAGGGAGGCAATAAAGTTTCACTTTTTTTTTTTATTTCATCAAACACATGATCGTGGGTTAGATGGGTGACTGAACGCTATTTTTAGCATACTTATTAATTAAATTAATCATTGTATAGATTAATTTCTTGAAATATGTAACAGAAAAAGTAATTAATAATTGTCGAATGACCGTAAATAATTAAAACCCAGTAAATTTTTATCAATAAATATGACTATAAAAAACGTTTTACTCTAATCAATGATACTCCTATTATGGTGTTGACAATAGAAACAATTTCTTAAATAACTGTATTTTAATTGTTAACTTTTTTTAAAAAAAAAGAGAGAAAAAAAAAAAAAAAAAAATTAATTGTTAACTTGCAACCCATATACTGGCTATATGAGGTTATAATCAGTTAATTAATTCGGAACTCAAGGGTAGATAACAAAATGTATTTTAAAGATAGTGAAAATTTTCGTAATTTTCAAATGTGACTGAAGAAAGAACGAGTAGATGACAGACTGTAATGATAGCTATAGAACTGCTAGTAGTTGAAGAAACTGGTTGCTAACTATAAATAGGGGTGGGGAAGATTATACAAAAGTTAATTAAATATATAGTTAAACTCTAGTGTTGTTTAAAATTAGCTGTTTAAATAAACTTTGTCAGCTTTAATAGCCCACTCTTCACATTATGGGCTATTTTTTTTTAAATTTATTGTGTGTTAAAAAAGGACCTGGCACCAAATATGTGTTTACATAGCTAAAATAAGAAACCAATAGATCGATGCAATCAATGCATCAGGGCTGGTGATCGATGCACCGATATCCATCGAAACCTGTCCGGCGCAATGGTGAGGAAAGTTGAACTAGATGGATTAAGCTAATTACGCCGGTGGCCAATTAATTACATCAATTACTCCAAATGGGATAACAACGATTTTAGGAATATCAGATTTTAGAGATAATACCCCCCCCCCCCCACCCCATACACACACTCACCCCCTCACACATCATTGCATTCGATAATTCCTGTGTAATAATAAATAATATTAGGTATAGTGTTAAACTGTTTGGCATTGATTAACCATTAACAGTATCATCGAAAATGCTGATAAAATATGCGGATTTTTTAATTTATTTTTTGCTTTGACTTTGTGTAGGTATTTCTTTGTTTCTTTTTCAATGACGACTAGGGTAGACTAAAATAGAATGACCGACATAAAAATCTCAAGGAAACCAGCCTGCCGCACGTTAAAACACATGTATGGTAAAATTTATGGGAAATAAAAGTTAGGTTGACACCGTAACGACGTGTAATGGCGTGGACCTTTGACCAGCTGCTTGTTCATCACTGTAATCTTTTCGTTTTTACGGTGAAGACAGGTTTTTAAAGCCTCGTTGTTTGAGTCCGTATGTGTCGCGCTGTGCACAGGCAATTGATGTTTTGAACTCAAGGAGATAGGATCGTATTGTGGGGATGCGAAATTAGTAGTCACCGTATGTAAACTGGCCACGAAACCAGAGCACATTAATTAGTAAATGAAAATTAATTTGTAAATAGATTTCCGGGTTCTCATGTAAAACTCATGCCTACAAATTACTGAAAACTATTTTACATCCCTAAACTCTACCTTAATCTAAACCATGTTCTTACTTGTTCCTATGTATTGCGATAAAAATGTTAACGCTTTTATAGAGAGTTAATAGTTCTAGAAATCTATTTCTAGAGGTAAAGCTTTATTAGACAATTGCGTAGTTTCCACAGATTGGTTGAAATCAGTGGCCAAGTCAAGTAGCGGTGATATTTGTATTTTTCCTGCTGGGATTTGAACCTCAGTTTACAAAATGCCATGCCACGTTCTTAGATCAAAACTAAATAGATAAAAATCTATATAAAATAAATTTTAAAATCGCTCAATATTAGACATCGATTTTTTAAAAAGGATATTACGTTCTGATTCAGTTGTAAACAAATATTTACCAAACAAAAACTGTAAGAATGTGTTGGTTTGGGTAGTTATTTTTTGTATTTAGAAACGTCGTCAACATTTAAAGGAATGCATGTATTCTATTTTGTTAAAGCTTCAATTAATGCAATTATTTAATTACAGCTGTTTTATATCCTGTCACCATATCCCATTTGTACTAGACTCCTTTAATATTTCCCCTCACCCCTCCTACCGCTATCCATTCCCCTCACAATTTTTTTAAATTCCAACTCTAGCCGAGAAGGAAAGAGTAAACAGACTTAATTATTTTTGGGGGAAGAAAGAAAAAAAGTATGTTTCTTTTGAAGCGAAGGGCAGATAACTGAATTACACTCTAGCATTATGAAATCACAAGAGTTATGCAAATGTGGTCTCACCCTTATCTCTGCCGATTGCCTCCCCTTTCGAGTTTACGCCCTCAGTCCCGCCGGCCAACCGGCGTTTTTCTGTGGAAAATATGCAAAGTTGTATACACAAATATTTGTTGGAAAACACTCAATAATTTGCCGGAACTTTGAAAATATGCAAAGTTGTATATACAAATATTTGTTGGAAAACACTCAATAATGTGCCGGAACTTTGAAAATATGCAAAGTTGTATACACAAATATTTGTTGGAAAACAATAATGTGCCGGAATTTTGAAAATATGCAAAGTTGTATACACAAATATTTGTTGGAAAACAATAATATGCCGGAACTTTGAAAATATGCAAAGTTGTATATACAAATATTTGTTGGGAAACGCTCAATAATTTGTCGGAATTTGGGAAAATATGAAAAGTCAGCTATACAAATATTTGTTGGATATACTCAAGATTTAGCTGTATATCGGGGAAAATATGCAAAATTGTATACACACATTTTGCAGTCGCAATTCTGGAAAATATTAGCTATCAACTAAAACCTTGCATGCGTCATCGCCATATTACCCCCCATCACCATCACCATTCAACAACACCACCTATTCTTTCGTTACACAATTAAACTGTCATAAAACTTTAGTAACATTCCTGGGACAAAACTGCACAGCGGTGCACCATGCATAATGAACCGTGAAGGCGCAGTGTGCAATTCAGTCTAAACCCTTTGAACAACAGCCCAAGAAAGATTATAAAGCAGTAAACCTAAGCATAGTATTACAGCGTAAATGAACCTGATATGTTACATAACTGGAAATTCCTGCTAAAAATAAACATAATATATTAATGGAGGTTTTTCGATTACAGTTAATTTTTTTATAATAATGGTGTTGGGGTGTAAGACGTACTAGATGCAGCTAACTAAATTGAAATGATAAAACACTTAGCGTAATGACCTAATTAAATACAGTGATGAAATAAAACGAATGAACAAAGCGACGAATGGAGGAAATAAACGTATATCACTCCGTGTTAACCTTGAGATTATAAATTCTTATAACCGGAAGTCGTTAATCCGATTTATTTCCTTATTGGATTCCGGCTATTTTATTTTATTTTTATTTTCGTACATTAATCTGTTTTTATTTTTGTTTTTATATTAATGTTTATCCGACACGTGAAGCGACCGGTAATAAAAGTAGTGTGTTAGTGTTAGTTTATATTTTCAAGGTGTTACAATGGCTCAGTTAGGGTGTGAAATGTTACGTAAATGATATTTTATTTGGGAATAAAGTTACACAATACACCATAAACGCTACATTTATTTTAGTTTTCCATTAGTCTAGTCTCGCGTGGGCTCACCCGAATAAAGATGAAGCTATCAATTGGGCGTATATTCTAACATATTCTAATAATTGATTTATGTAATTGAATTTATTTTTTTATTTTTTAGCTTTTATTGCGAATAATTACAAAAACAACATAACGCAATATCTGGACAACAAAATATCTGCAAAAGTCCTTGTTTAAAATGCTACCTGGATTTTTTAGAAAAGTACTAGGTGACTTCCCTTTTTTTATCAATATGGTAATTTTTTTTTCACGTTTGCTTGTGTACGCGTGCGTATTCATTGGGCTGATATTCTGTACAAGACCATGGGTGGGGGGTGTATTGGCGGGATTCTGCATCTGTGGTGGGGTAGGGACGGAGGGGTTGGCTTTGATTTCTTTGCCCATTCAACCATTCAGCCGTTCGACCATCCTAGTATCGATCCACGTATTCGTGTGTTAATTTTTTTTACGTTATGAAACAATTGTCACTGCTGAATCGGGTATTCGTGGTATTCATCGTTTCGATTACTTTTCTAAAATCGAATATTCATCGTTTCGATTATTTCTTTTGTTGACTCTCTCTCTCTCCGTCTCTCTCACTCCCGTCTATTCGATGCTACATAACTCCCACCCCTAGCCCAAACCCCCCTCTCCATCTGTGATCTAATATATAGCTGTCGTGGAGCAAGCTAGAAAACTCCCAGTCATAGTTACATCGTGACCATGAAAATATTGTCCAAATTTTGTTAGCTGGGGTACCAGAAAACTTGGGGAGCCACAGAAGAAAGATGGGTACAGTTGGAGAAACTAGAATCACTTCAAATAAGACGACGTTAGCTATATTTATTCTTGGTTTATTTTGACCTATTAGAGTCTTTAGTATCTTCTCATATTATGTGTTGTAACACAAGAAATAATTTCGGCCAACCAATCGCCAAACTTTTGCCCTGTTGTGATACGTGAATGGCCAACTTATGACTGTGAATGTCAGGTTAATGGCCAACTTTCAGTTGTAACGCGACATTATAAATGGCCAACTTTGAGCCTGGCCTGAAAGTCTCGCAGACAATGGCACCATTCGACAGCTAACCGGTGCAAGCTTTAAACGTACCTGTAAATGTGTCCGTCCACTGACCCCCACCTTACCCCCCTTCCCCACCACACACACACACACACACACACACCACCTCCTTCCCTGATATCAGCCTTGCACTAGGTCAACCCACAATTATGTCAACACAAAAGTAGGTCAGTGGCACGCTATCGCCAGCTATTGATAATCCCGACTAACGCCTATCAACCCGCGCGAACAGGGTCGGGAGTTCGAGTCCAGTAGAGATTGATGATAAAAACGTTTAGAGTTCGTTCTGATCTACCTTTTACTTTCTGAAGTTCATCTAAACTTTATGTACCGACAACTACTTAACTTACTAAAAGCTTTTATCATCCAACGGATATTTTAAAAATTTTATTTAAAAATTAAATTTATAACAGAAAAGCCTTTTAATGAAACAAAATACTTTACATTTATAACTTAAAATACAAATTTTTCAAAAGTATATTAAATTTTTCCCTTTGTATCTAATTGAAATCGATACGTTTTTCAAAAAGATTTTGCATTCAACATATACTCCTTGTTAACATTAAAATCCTTTTAACTAATTTGAATTATTTTCAATTAAGAAAAACAAAATACTGTATCGGTATCACGTTACTTGACTGATGAAAACATAATATCTACTAGTAAGTGCTTAGTAGATCTGTCTTTAGAAGGACAATGGCCGAAAGCAACGCAGAGGGATGGTTGATTTTTGCTGCTAATTGCAGCATTGTAGTTTTCCTTTTTTAATTAAAGGTTTGTGTTACACGGCGGATTGGCTGTAATGATTTAATGATAACCGCGGTCCCTAGTGTCGGTAAATATCGACTTAACTGTTGAGGTGTTTAAATACTGAAACTACGTTTTAGATGTCTTAAAATAGAGCCACGGCGGAGCTAAAAGAAGGGGTCAAATATAATGTATTGTTTGAAAAATATTATCAAAAGATGTTGAACTACGCAATTTCTGGGAAACCCTTCAATTATAACTAATTCCACTAGACCACGGCTATATCTAATGCCTAATTCCACTAGACCACGGCTATATCTAATGCCTAATTCCACTAGACCACGGCTATATCTATTGCCTAATTCCACTAGACCACGGCTATATCTAATGCCTAATTCCACTAGACCATGGCTATATCTAATGCCTAATTCCACTAGACCATGGCTATATCTAATGACTAATTCCACTAGACCATGGCTATATCTAATGACTAATTCCACTAAACCATGGCTATATCTAATGCCTAATTCCACTAGACCATGGCTATATCTAATGCCTAATTCCACTAGACCATCGCTATATCTAATGACTAATTCCACCAGTTCAGCTACGCAACGACTCCGTGGAGAGACGAATGTTTTATGCGAACCGCCGTGAAGTGCACAAACGTATCAATAATTGAAGCAGACGATTACCTCACAGACTACCAGATGCAGCCCGTTTGATGTCCGGTGCCAGAAATGGTTCCCCTGGTCACCAAAAGACGTCAATTTGGCAGCGGTCATGCTGCGGACTGCGAGATGGCGTGGTTCGGTTGGTTGGGTTAAGTATGATAACAAAGGCAGTAAAATGGCACCACGTTGTAGACAGCTAAATAAGGCATTAAGGCATGAACAGTTGAGACAAGTATCAACAGGAAAGTAAAATGCTGGCAGTAGTCTATGGAACTATAAGCATGTCAATAAAATGGCACCGAGAGTTTGGACTACTGTAGTGAAGATAGTCATGATTTGATCAACCGTCATGAGTAGTTTTCAATATGTAATTTAGTAAACCTACTGGTAAAACTTAAAATAACCAATCATTTTAAAGAATGTGTGGGCTGGCAATACCCTAGTATATGTAGGTTGGAAGCATACTTATACGTAATGATTAGAAGCATACACTGATGTGATGGTTGGAAGCATACATATGTGTGGCTTGGAAGTATACATAGATGTATGGGCCGGCAGTATAAATTAGTTTATATACATACAAACAAACACAGATATAAAGTTATAAACTCGTCTGTATACACTAAAGATTTAATAAAATTAATATTAACTTGTATTAATTACTTCCCATTTGCTCCTACAAATTTTGGTCAAGGGAAAATAACTATAACTAAATTATTTTAATTTTATAAAATTCAAAATAATATGTTCTAAAACATAAAATAAATACGTATTTACTGTTAAACAATAAAAATAAATACATTTATTAAACTGTAATTGAAGTGTATGAAAATATTTATTAGTATGTATATATATATTAGAGCTAAATATTGCAAAATATTCAAAACAAAAGACATAAGCAGCAGTCCACATTTATTTATTTATAAAAAGGAAATCTTAAGCACAATTAATCGATCCCTGGTAATAGTAACATGTGGCATTCGATGGTATTATATTTTAAAATTGAAAATAAAATTATTTTTAAAAATGAAAAAAAAAATAACTTTAAAAATAAAATCTGTTCTGCAGATTTAGCCTTAGAGGAGACACTCAATAATGAGTTAGATCTAGATATACATTCTATCTAACCCAGTAGATAAAAATCTGTTATTATGGCTCAAAAACAATATTATTCAAGAAAGACCTGAGTTGTTGATTCAGGGAAATACAGTGAGGCCAGGGATTCTTGTATTAGTGAATGATGTAGACT